TCCCTCTCTCTCTCTCTCTCTCCTCTCTCTCTCTCTCTCTCTCCCTCCCTCCCTCCCTCCCTCCCTCCCTCCCTCCCTCCCCCCTCTCTCTCTCTCTCTCTCTCTTTCATTCTCCAGCCTCAGTGCTAAGCTGAAACAAACTAGGAAAGTGGTATAAACCACAAAGATGACTTCTGCTAATGCAGAGAGGAGGGGGAGCTAAGAGGTGACCGCCCCTCCCCGCATCCCTGACGCAGACACTCGCCACAGATGGGCTGTGGGCCCGTCCCTGCGGCCCACACTCTGCCCTGAAAGGTTCTCTCTTAGCCACGAAGAGAGTGTTAAGCCTCCGACTGTATTAGGCTTGGAGCGTTCCATTGCGTACGGAAAGAAAATCATTTCATGTCTAATAAAGCAGGGCTGGCAGACAGACTTTTGTTTGTTTGCTGGAGAATCTGTGAACACCGTTGTTAAAACTAACCAGCTATCCTGCGTCCCATCGATTCCGGGGAGCGTTTCATGGCACTCCGAGGGAATCAGGTTCAGGGTCAACTGTGATTTCCCTGCGCTGAACTTTCCGCGCATCGGTATTCCCGCCGTGGGAAACAGCTGGAAATATGATCTTTACACGGCAACACCGGGGGTTCGCAGGGCCCCCCTAAATGTTCACGTTAATGGAGATTTGGGGGGATGCTTATTTCAAGAAGTTGGTGTCTAGTAGACAATCAGTGAGAGCGTTCTTATTATGAATAGTGTAGCTTAGTATGATCTGGTGGAATGGGCCATCAGCTGCCTGTTTCCATTGCTTCTCCTGACGCCTCACGCCAGCAGCCAGAGGAATGACCCGGCCCTCCCTCTGTCGGGGAGAGAGAGCGCCAGTGTTTGGAGGCCATGGGTGTGAGCCCCGGTTTTCTGGGCCATCGAAGTCCGCTGAGCCAGAAAAGGGGAGCAGAGCTCTTGTGAGATTCTTGTGAAGGACGAGGGCGGTGAGGAGGGGTCGCAGGGGGTGAGTTAACTGGCGGAGGCCCTCGGACGGGACTGCATTCCTGCATCGGACCCCCAGAGAGTTCTCCCAAAAGCCACCCCCTTTCCTGCCTGGGGGGCCAAGAGAGCAGAGAGACACTGTGAGTGCCAGCATCCTCTTCGGTTCAGAGCAGGGCCAGGCACCACAGGAGGGGCCTCCCCCTCCCCCGGCTGCACCCCCGGGCTCAGCCTGCAGTCCGTACCCCCACCCTGCCTGCCCCTCAGCAATCCTCAGCCAGTCCTCCCACGCACCCGCCTCCCCGGGTGCCAGAGCCCACCCTGGACACCCAGGAGCAGCGTAGGAGGGGAGGGCGCGGGGAGGGAGGGCCAGAGCGGGCATGGGACTGCAGGCCCTCCGTGCCCCTCCCAATTCCCTCTCCCGGCAGCCGGGGACGGGAAAACCATGGCCACCTGAGTGGGAAGGAATAATCAGTTTAATTTCAGGAAACGCTCCTGCTGCCCCCGGAACAGAGAGAAGCTGTGCCTCGATCATTAGGGGTTGATGCCTTCAATTATCAGGACGGAGCCAGGTGCCGCGCCTGTGTTGATGAAACCGCTGGGCCCCATCTGAGCACAGAGCAGGCAGAGGGAACCTGCCTCCGTCCCTCGCTCCACCAGCCCGGCCGCTCTGCAGTGCCCAGAGGGGGCGCAGTCCGCTCGGATGGAGGCGCCGGTCGGAGGGGCAGAGGGGCCAGACCGGGACCCTGGCCGCCGGGTCTGGGTCACCGGTACGTCCCCGCACATGCGGCCGGGTGCTATCCACGCCGACAGCACTTACAGAGCCTTGCGGCAGCCCTCTCCATAGTGGACGGCGGGAATAAGAACGCATTTATAATTGCCCCGATGGCGGGTTTTCCGCCCCGGACACTCTTGTCTTGGCTGCTCCTGACAGGCATCACCTCAGGGGAGTCTCTCCCTCAAGTGTTTGCAAATGTTTAACTAATAATACTCATCTGGCTTTTAAACTTCCCGTTAGACCTCGCGGAACCGGTTCCTTTCCCTTTAAAGATGGGCCAGCAGCCGGAGAGGGCGCTCTGACCGCTGCCCTTTGGTATCACCGGGACCTTCGTCTCAGGCTGGGGAGCAACCCTCAGTTATGGGGCAGCCGCCGCTCCTCGGAGACCCAACAAGCAGTGTTTTCGGACCAGTCTGGTCCCTGGGCGTCCCTCGCAGCCCCAGCGCCGTCACAGCCCTTTGGTCCCAGTGGGTCCCTGACACTGCCCTCAGGAGGAAGGGACCTGCCGGAGGCGCGGCCTGGAGCCTCAGGGCTGGGCCTGGGCAGGTGCCGGGGGCCATGGCTCCCCCCAGGGAGAGGCCCACCTTGTGGCACCGTGTCCTGGCAGGCTGAGCAGGACAGGCTGCACAGGGGGAGCCCCCGGCCGGGCGAGGGTCCTCCTCTCGGGCTGGCCTCCTGGGGTGCCCGCCCGCAGGCTGTGGGCGCCGCGGCCAGCATCCTGTCTGCGCGCCTGCTCCCGGCGCGTGGGTACCCGCAGCACATGGGGAGGAGGTCCCCCTGGCAAGGTGCGAGGAAGCTGAGGGGCCCCCGGGGGTGGCAGGCTCCAGCCGGCTCGGGTCCGAGGCACCGGGCAGGCTCTCCCACCCGCCCTGTCCTCCCCCACCTCCACGGGCACGGCCGTCTCGGGTTCTGGATGAGGTGCTGGCGCCGGGGCTTGGACAAGACAAGGCTCTGGTCTCAGGTGACAGTGCGCACACGTACACAGCCGCCGGGGGACCTGCCCGCCTCACACGGCTTCCCAGAGGCCTTGCCCCGGGCCCGGAGCCCCGGCCTGGCCTGAGGCCGAGGCCGCCTCCCCGCGGCTGTGGGCACTCCCCCGTGGCCGGCGGGCGGGGCAGAGGGCGCCGGGGTCACGCTGGCCGTGGCCCAGCCCCTCGGCGCCCCCTGGCTCCCCGGCTCCGTGCCCGGCCACGGCCGCTTTCCCGTGTCCAGAGGCGACAGGAGCAGCTGCAGGCCCAGCAGCTGGGAGCACAGCCTCCTGTCCCACCCCGGCCCCACCCCGGCCCCACCCCGGCCCCCTCTCCGGCAGCACCCACCCGGCAGCACCCACCCCGGCAGCACCCACCCCGGCAGCACCCTCCCCGGCAGCACCCTCCCCGGCAGCACCCTCCCCGGCAGCACCCTCCCCGGCAGCACCCACCCGGCAGCACCCTCCCCGGCAGCACCCTCCCGGCAGCACCCTCCCGGCAGCCGGTTCCCCCAGGCACCGGCTCCCACGCCCGGCAGGTGCCTCCTGAGGCAGACATGGCTCTGGCTCCCGCTGGGCCCAGAGGAGGTGGACCAGTGGGCACCATGGGCCCCCCCCACACACACACACTCACACACACACACACACACACTCACACAGACACAGACACACACACACAGACACACACTCACACTCACACTCACTCACACTCATACACACACACACACACTCACACTCACACTCACACACAGACACACACACAGACACACACACACACACACACACACACACACACACTCTCTCTCTCTCTCTCTCTCTCTCTCTCTCTCTCTCTCTCACACTCACTCATCATAACGGCCCTTCCTCTCCGCGCCCGGCTGCCGTGAGGGCGGCCCGGCGGCCAGTGCCCTCCAGGGCCAGGGATGCTGAGGGCAGGGCGCTGTCCTGGTTACACCTGAGGCCAAGCGAAGCCTAAAGCTGAGCTCTGCCCCTTCCCGGCGCCAGCTGTGCGCGAGCACACTGACCTGAGCCTCGTTCCTTGGTTAAGCGGGCTGGTCAGGGTCACCCGACAGCCTTCAGCAGAGCTGCTCCATGGAGTGCTGAGCGCCCTGCAGCGCCCGGAGGCCAGCGGGGGATGAGTGACCTGCGGCCACACCACGGCGGCTCCCACACCGAGTGGTCACGTCCTTCCCCGCGCCCACTGCCCAGACTGCCACGCCACCCGATGAGCCACCTGGTCTCTCCTCCTCCCTCCGGTGCGCAGTGGCTATCCTTGTTCCCTCCCTCTCTCCACTTTGAAACATCACTGACTCAGTTTACCCTATTCTCCGACCACAACCTTCAATCCTCCAGTCTGTTCAGCTACCCAGGCCCCAGCAGATCAAAACCCCCGTCCATCGAAATAACGGTCTCCTTACCCTCCGCCGCCTCCTCTCAGCCCTCAGCTGCTTCCCCGGGGCTGTGGTCCTCACTGGCTTCCCGCCGGCGTCCAACTCGCCTGCCAGCACCCGCCTGCCCTCCGCCAGCTGCCAGCGTCACCGAAAACGAAGAGCTGACGCCCGGCTGGATGCGGACCGGCCCTTTGCCAGTGCCTCCCGCACCACCGCGCACCCCAGCGATGCGGAGAACAGGATGGCTCTCACCGCGCAGGCGAGGCTCGCACCCCCAGCCACCGTCCATCACGTGAGTCTGGGTCCCATGGCCCGTTACCGATCCACTTCCCTTCCTCCATCTCCGGAAAGCCTCTTCTCCGCGGCCAGGCAGCTGTCAGGCTCCTGGATTCCTCAAGAGCCGACACCGGCCGCTCCGCTCCAGCCTCCCGCTGGCCGCCGCGGTGAGATGGCCTTCCGAAAGGAAGTCCACTGGCTCCTCAGGCCCGCTGTGCTGCATGTTCCCCAGGGGCCCCTTCCACCCCCTCAGGGCTCCTGCTCTCCGTTCTCCTCCACCCTCCTCCATCCCAGCCACCGGGCCTCGGCTCCCGAGATGCACACATCCTTTCACTGCCAGGCTTGTGTGTTTTAGCCTCTTCACTCGGCCTGCACCAGCTTTACGTTATCAGTGAGAGCTCACCGCCCTGACTGTGCGGGCTCGATTCTTTCCTGTGAGTTCCTGCCACACTGATCAGTCTCTGCCCTGGCCCTCGCCGTCTCACAAGGAGTCTAACACTGTGAGGGCAGGGCTGTCTTTTCCCGCGTTCACTACTGTACCTCCGGTGCCTACACGCAGTGTAAATATTTTTAATGAATTTAAATGATTCTCTACTCAATGAGGAAGAAAAAAAGAAATTCATTTGAAAACATTTTCAATTTTCTAATTTAATAAAAATAACCAAAACAATGTGGCTTTCAAACAAGGTTTAAACTAATCTAATACAACTTCTATAACACATTCCAGGGCAGTATAACAAGGAATATTTACAGGCAGCTACTGTGTTAAATAACCAGGAAAAGAAAATCTTACTTTTATTACACACCAGCAAAACACAGGAACGGAACAACTAGAAACTGCAACCTTGTTTTAAAAAATTAAATATGATTATTTAGAGAATACAATACCACAGAAACAGCACTTTTCCTTTAAGAATCATATCGAAGGGTAGGTAGCTATGTGCAAAAGAATGGAAGTTGTGGGAGGAGGAATAAAATGAGGGGAGGACCCCAGTGGAAACACCGGTAGCGAGGAACCAGGAAGGCTGTGAATTTAACCCTTTCGTGTGTCAGCATTTCTACACAGGAAATTAACAGGCTTTCAGATTGCACAAATCTTTTCTCAGAGGTTTATGTACATCTGTCACTGTGATTTAAAACATAGTAAATGCCTACATTTTTCAGACCAGGAGCAGACATGCGTTTCTTTAAGATTGAAATTTAGGCCACACTTGAAAGGGAATATTGCAGTGGCACTTAGGAAATTATTCTGTGCCTTTCCCCATACAAATTTGGTGAATTTAAAAGAACAGCACTTTTCATTGTAAAGATCACTTGCTAGAAAAGGGGCTAAACTTCATTTGTACATTTTATAGTTTGATTATGACAAATATCCAAATGGATTTATTTTTTAGGATAATTGTTTCTCCGATACAATAAAAAAATATATATAAAAGACCACAAAGGCAAACACGAGGAACTAAGACTGAAGAAATGCTACACATGCATTTTGACCAAGTAAAAGGAACCGTTATATCCCAGAGTAACATGTTGAAATCTGAAATGTCTATGTAAACTGAGGCATATAAATTTTTTTCTTAAAAAAGTACCTTCAATTTTTTTACTCAAACACCTACTTTTAAAAAAATATGCAACTTTCTCCAATTTTTAAAATAAAATGCCGCAATATATTGTCATTAGCTCCAGCATACACTTTTCTTCATTTTTAAGAGACAGACTGGGTGATATGCATACAAACTTTCCTATGGTCACGTCTGGGAGAGGGTTATGGCATGCTGAGGCAGCAGACAGAAAGCGTGTTATTGCTTTGTCAGGGAGGAGAGGACCGTGAGGAGAACAGCGGGGTCCAGCACTGGGATGCCCCTTGGGAACCGTGGCTCACCTTCAGCGGATCACTGACGCCGATGGCAGGAGCGAAGAACTGATTGTTTCACTTAGGAGAGATGGGGTAGGTAGATTTTATAAAGCTACTCACTGACCTAATGCTCATTATGCAAATAAGCAGTGCTAGCAAGAAGTGAGACTTTCATCCTTCATTTGTTGGGAGTGCAAGTAGGTAAGGGTGTCTGGCCAGTGTGGCTCAGTGGATTGGGCAGTCTCATGCACCAAGTGATCTCGGACTCCTGCCCAGGTTGCAGGCTCGATCCCCAGTAGGGGGTGTGCAAGAAGCAACCAATACATTATTCTCTCTCATCATTGATATTTCTCTCTCCTTCCCTCTCCCTTCCTTCCTTTCTTTCTACAAAATCAATAAAAACATTTTTTTAAGGTAAAGTGAGAGGGAGCCACAGCATCTACTCCCATTTTGGACACTAAGAGACTGTTTAATTACATAGGGTAGGCCATAATCCAAGGGCATAGTCAGAAGACCTAAATCTTTTAACTTATTAACACTAATCACTAATAATTACATGGCAGGATGCCTGCTGAGGTAATTGATAAATCTACAGATTGCACACTATAAACCCTTTGCTTCTATTTAAAAACATTGTTTCTTTGGATTAATGAAAAATTTTAAAAACTTTTTACAACAAAAAGAATTAACTGACTTTAAATTTTATTTAAAATTCCCCTATATAAGAAACAAGAGTCAGAAAGTACCTTGTTGATTCCAAAATGGGTAATTGCAGCAACAGCTCCAATGCCTGGTCACTGCTCTGGGCCGGGGCTTGCCATTCCATACAGAGCATGGCCTGCATGTCAGGATGTGAACACACACGCTTCACCTTATACAGCAATTCCTTCAGGGAACCAGCTCAGCGTTACAATATACAAATGCGGACCAGCAGAACAGACTAAGGAACACTTCATTCTTGGTGTTCTCACAGCAGAAATGTGGCGAGAGCTTTGCAAGCTTTTGAGGAAACATTAACATCTCCAAATCTAAAATATTGCCTTTCAAGGAGGAATACAAATGCTCGAGTATAAAAACAGGAACTGATATACAACGTTTGATGTTTATCTTTTTAAAACGTAATAGGAAATCGTGTAAAAATATCAGGTTAATACTGTTGGACAGTTATATTAGTGCACAGATCAGCTTAGAAACAGTGATCTGTGTGCAAAAAAAGCAGCTTTAAATGAAATCTAAAATGAACCGCTTCATTCAACGGTGGCTTTCTGACAGCTGCATGAGTTACCTTATTCACAGAAACGGAGCCGCTTAAATGTTGACACAGTGGCTCTTTAAGAACCAATCCTAAAACAAAGGGGCCAAACCCCATCTGACACGGTAACACCTTTAAGGGACACATTATCTTTTAAGGCCCCGAGTACTGAGATATAAATACTTACTAAAATTTTGTTTCTTCTGCCATGGTAGAAAGTATTTATGACTTACTATCTAGTAATAGTGAGAGAGAGCAAACAGAAAACAGACAAAATGAAGCCACACGGCCAACTCTTCACTTTTCAAAAATGTGCCTTAGGTATGTCTCCTGATAATGAAATCACAAATATAGGAAAGAGGGAAATAAGCTCAGATAAAAGCGTTTTTAAACAATATTCTCTCTTACCAGAAAACTCTTCTATAAAATTTGAGCAAGATGAGTTTGGAATATGTTTTTTAAGTTTACAACAAAACTGAAAGAGAAGCTAGAGGATGAAATTAGTCAATAGCAACGATAAAATCAATCCCATTAGAAGGTTGGATTCATAGTCACGTTTATCCCCACCACTTAAGAAAAGAAAAACAACCCGAAGGAGTTTGCATAATAAGTTCTTTAAAACACTTTATTTTATTCAATATGCACTAAAAAATATTTACCTCTTAAGACAATCATGTCAGATAATTTTTTCCGAGTAACCTGTCTGAACTGCTTAAGCTGGATTTTTTTTAAAAGGCAAACGATTTGCCACAAATCTGCTGATATCTGAAAATATCTAATGGAGGGTCTTCTATTTTGGTCACTGTATTCTGTGTCCATACAAAAACAGGACTTAACACTTTTAATCCAACTAAAGAGAAGCCTGTGTACAGTCTAGACACACATCTGGGGCACGAGCATCACAAATGAGGAGGAGAAAAATGAAACAGCCAGTGGCTTGTCTGCCTCGGAGCTGAAATCGGGGTCAGCTGGGTTACTCCAGGACCATTCAAGTGGGGGTTGGCTCATTTCCAGGATTTACTTACAAGTCTCTTCTCTGTCCTTTAGGCCCAGTTCATGCAATGTCCCACTTGGTGGACAGATGAGTAATCTAACCCCACCGGGTTTATTTCAATAGTTTGATATTTTAATAATAAGCTGCTTCTGAAGATTTTCTGAGAAGTCTGTTCTCTATTAAAATAAGATAGAACCTCAAAATATGAATGTGAACATTAGAAATAGACAGCATATATTACAAATCCATTCTTGATAGGAACATTAGTAAAGAATACACATTAGCTTAAAAAACAGGCTCAGCAAATGTTGCCGATCTGCCAGGAGTTTTAGTTCACTATTTACAAATAAGACAACGTGAAATACAGAAAATCTTACACATTTGGTAGCTGACAGATTACCGTTTGCCAATAGTGGTCTATCAGAAAGCTGACATGAAGGAAGACTGGTAAGAGCCAGTTATCCCTTCTCAGTCAAATCTAACACACAAAAAACTAGCCAATGGTCAACATTCTGCCTTCATGGGAATAACTAGGATCCGATGATTTGGTTAAGAGGTGCAACTTGTGGACGTGTTTTCTGGGAATGATTACTCTAATTATGTGATCTCCTACTGAAAAGTTACCGTATTTATTTCAGTAGACCATTAAAGTTGATTAAATAATGATCAATGGTCGTGTTTCCTAGACTCCAAGTATGAACAAAAAAATACTGTTGAGTTCTTTAAACCAATATAGAAACCAAGGCCCAACAGCATCAAAGTGAGAAAAAACGTAAGTGTATGATTCAATGCACATCTGTATTGACATAAAAAATTCAACTTTCACTAGAAAACAAGCCAGTGTGTGTGTGTGGAGAGGGAGGCATCAGAGTTGTTTAACAGCTGTCCGCTGTGGTCCACAGAGACGGTTTGTCAAGTGACATGACCCTCCAGTATTAACTTATACATCCAGCATCCTGCACCAATCAATCAATACCACATAATCATCTTCCAATTCTAACAGAACTCTTCTCTTTAGTAACAGAAATCTTCCGAGTATTTCACTTTTGCTTTTAGTTTTTACTTTCAATGGTGCAGAGTTCCTCCCCTTCTTGACAGGAGCGTGGTTTCTGTCCGCTGTTTCCGCTAATACTGTGTGAAGCTCTCAGTTTCTTCAAGGAGGCGCCCCCACGGTAGGCAGACTTTCAGGCAACACGTACAAGTGTGTCTGCTCTCTGTTTAAACTGGGTTAAGTCGTGTCTTTACTTTATATGTATCGGTCTGTCGTCTGACTTTAGGCGTTTCCTGCGGGGCTGAATAAAGTCTTCGTCAGAGTCCTCCGTTACCTCCCCGTCATCCTCTTCCTGCTCAAACTCGGGCAGAGGTGCGAAGGTCCTGTCTGGGTAGATCTCTGCGAGTTTGTCTTCAAAGTACAATGCGACTGCCTTCCCTGCCTGAGCTACCTCTGAGTCAGCCTGCAAGCAAAAGACAGGACAGTCACCCACTGGGAACGCACATTCCTTCACCAAGTGTGCATGGTCTGAAAAGCTTACCTTCAAATTAATCTCTTGTGTTTCTGCATAAACTTGAACAACTCTCATCATCTAAAAAGGATACCAGAGTCAAAAAAAAAAAAAGGGAAATTATAAATCCTTTCTAAAATTATTCAACTGCATAGGATTGGCGACAAGAGTCAGCCGTACGAGGGTGTCAGGTTATAAGTGCGATGACCAGACCGTAAGTGCTTCCTAAACTTTTACAGAACATGGACCACTTTCCTTACAAAGTTCTAAAGCTACTGAGACCTCAATAATTATTGTCGCAAATTCTGAATTTCTTCAAGGAGGTGCCAAGCTAAATAGAAATTGGTCAAGAAATTGGTCAGAATATATCAATCTATTTAAGAGAAATATATCTGTGAAATGAATAATGTGAGAAATGTTGCTTTTAAAAATCTGCCAAACTTTCAACAAACCACTTAATCGGAATGCCATCTATCCGGCAATTTGTTAACCATAAATTGTTTAACTATTGCTAAAGCAGAAAAAAATGGGCCTTCTTCCTGGCAAATGATAGCTATAGCTCATGAAAGCATATTTATTTAAAATAACCTAAGTGCATTAGAAAACAAGACAAAAACTCGGGACTGTATTAATGTTACTTTGAGTGAAGCTTTACTGTTCTCTGTGGCATACTGCTATTGAGGTGACTAGACTTTTCACCTAGTAAGAACTTTTTAAAATTTTTTACAGTCACCTAGGTGCTTTCAGAAGCAGCTATGAGTACATTTTAATAGAGTCAACGTGATTTATTTTAGTGATAGTCACATGGCACCCAATTTTTACCAGTAATAAAGATGAGACTTTAGTAATAAAATAATCCTTTTTTAAAGATTTTATGAATTCTCATCCAATTCCATTTTCTCCTCCTGTAATAATGAAAAATTTCCTTAACAATAGACTTGACTTTTCCCAAAGATAACCAAAATTATTTCCTTAAGTGAGGTATACATATGTAAATCACATTTCTTTTCAAGATAGGGATAACAAATGCTTATCCTCATAAAAATACAAAGCTGTTAATGAAAGTCACATTGCTGAGATCCAAAAACTCAACATATATACTCTGGGCTACTGTTCAAAATGAGCCACCAGAGGGTTGTTGGTGATTTTAAGGTTGTACATTTATATAGTCAATAATAAAGTCAAAGGGCACTGTTATAAATGTCTTTCCTCAATGTATCCAAAACTTAGGCGTTTATAATAGTTTCCCACAAAACTTACTTAACTGGAGACTACTTTCTATACATATCTTAATCCTTAACTTGTTCAAGAAGGGATATTTAATAACATTCCTGATTTATTATATTTAAATATATACTTCAAATCATACACAGTAAACTTTCTTCTTTGGAGCTATAGATGACAATTTTACTCTTGACAAGAAGTGAAGCAGAAAAAGAAATTTTAAATCCAATTAGAAAAATCACTTGGCAGGAAAAGCAAAATCCAAACAATAAAACAAAAAAATAAAACTAATAATCCAAGACCAGTTTGGAAGCGAACATACTTCGTTAAACCTTTCACAGTTCTTGAAGATGAGACGCACGTCAGCCACAAAGTCATCGGGCACCTGGTAGTGTTGGGAATGCTTTTTCTGAAGCTTCTTCTTCACGGTCGATAAGTCCATTGGTTTCTTTATAATTTTATAGTAGTTTGGTATCTAAAAGAGCAAATAAATACAGCTAGATAAGGATTCTCTCAAATGCCAAACTACTTTTGATTTGAAAATCCATAGCATAATTAATTTCAGGGGGAAAATGTATTGACTAATGAGCCAGCTACTCGAAATTTTTGGGTACAGTGAATGTCCTTTTTATCTTTGGCCCCAATTTTATCATGAAAGTCAAATCATGTTCATAGTATGTGGCAGTAACCATGTTATGAAGGCCCCAAAGTTCTATCTTTAAGAAGAAAATTTGGAAAGAAAGCAAATAGCAATGAGAGCCAGTCACTAATGTTAAAGATACATCAAACTCATTAGAATTTCATGATTCCTGAAGAGGTTATTTTAAATAGGAAAGGAAAGAAATGGTTACAAAAGTTGTTATTATTATTAGAATATGATATCTTTTAGAGGACATAACTTTCTGTCTGGACACAGCAACAAAGGAAGACAGGAATAACACCAGCCTCAGCGAGAAAGTTTTTGTTAACCACTTAGTGATCGTGCTGGGAAGTTCTGGCTCTGACCCTTGGCCAAAAGTTTGTATCCTTGGGAAATAACTGAGCGCAGAGAGCTTTTGCAATGGTTCATGAAAAATAATTTGGAAGTCACTTTCCACCATAAAGTCCCTGAACTTAAAGACAAGACAGACTTCCTAATATCAGATGATTACTATTTGCACAAAACATATTCCCTGTGTCTAGACCTTCTGTGCTGTAAAGTTCCTTTCTGAACCCATTCCGTACACAAGTCTGCTCCTCAGTACTGCACAGCACATCTGGAATTCAGTAACATCTTAACTCAGCGAATGCTGGCCACAAATAGAGGATGTGGCAGTCTCGGGCCATTTATGACGCGCTAAGCACCCCTGTGTTCCGTTTGCTGCAGGACTTCAGAGGTTTCATTCCTTACTAACGTCCCCTTTAAGTTAAACAAAGAATATTGGCTTGCAAAATTTCCCAATCTTTTCTTAATCTTGACTTTTCATAGAAGAGGGCTTATAAAGGCAGAGTCAGTATAAAAGATTCAATTTTACACGTTTATTCAAATACTTAGTTTTCTCCCCAACATACAGAACCTAGAATCATAGAACTAGAATCTTAGAAATAACCTAGTCCAATATTCCCATAGCACAGTTTAAAAAGTAAAGGCAAGAATATATGGAATTTTCCCAGTTATAAAGAGAAGTTGCCTCTGACTTCTGGGTTCAAGATTATTTCCATTATACATATCACCCCTTACCGTAAAGGTAATAGAGGGCATGGGAATTAAATTCACTACGTTTCCATCAAAGCAACAAAATCTGTAAAAACAAACTCCAATTTTACCAAGTGGACCTCATATCCACTTGGCCCTACTAAAATTTCTGATTAATAATAAATATTTAAAATGCTATTAGGTCTGATGCTAAAACATGTTACACAGGTCACCACAGATGTGTATCCCCTGAAAGAACCCAATGAGGGAAGAACAGTGTTAGGAAAGAAAGCTTGAGCCTTGGAGAGGTTGAGAGATTCTTCAAGAAGCTGGAGTGTTAATAGATGAGTCCTCACCAGGGTGGTATGAAGGAAAACAACTCACCGAAGCAGGAACTGGCTCCTGGAATTCAATACTTAACTCGTGACAATAGAGGTAAAGCAGAAGACGTTCACATTTCTGCCCAAAAGAGAAAAGAAACCCCTTAGTTGTTTGTTTGTTTTTTGCCTAATAAGCCCTTGAGAATAAGGACTTGACCATTATAAAGCACTAGAGGCCGGTGCACACGATCTGTGCCCTCCGGGAGGTCCCTCAGCCCGGCCTGCCCCCGCTCGCAGTCCGGGAGCCCTCCGGGAAGCGGGACCTAAGCCGTCAGTCGAACATCCTTAGTGCGCAGTGGAGGCGGGAGCTCGCCAGCAGGCTTCGGGGCTTCTGGCTGAGCAGGGCCCCCCTGCGGAAGCGCACTGACCACCAGGGGCAGCTCCTGTGTTAAGCCGTCTGCCCCCTGGTGGTCAGTGCGACTTGCATGTTACCCTTTTATTATATAGGATTATTACTATTTGCTCTCCAATAAACATACACCCAAAGAAAGCCGCTTCTTTTCCCGTTTAGTTTTGAAACTATCTTCTGTTCTACTTTAAATCACTTATCAAAGACACAGTGCTTTTGTTCTTATCTGATAACAAAGGTAATTTATCTACTATTAATGCAACTATTTATACACATATAGCATTTTGTACAATATAGCATTTTGTACAATAATTTATAGATTACTTGGTAATCTATAAATTATTGCTCTTGCTTCTTAAGTTGTAATCCACTGTGGCAGGCCAGACATGTTTTTATTTTCTTTCTTGAAATTATTCCACTCAGGTTCAAAATTATATAAAAATTATCAACCCAACTCTAGAATATTTTTTTAAAATATATTTTATTGAGTTTTTACAGAGAGGAAGAGAGAGGGATAGAGAGTTAGAAACATCGATGAGAGAGAATCATCAATCAGTTGCCTCTTACATATCCCCCTACTGGGGATGTGCCCACAACCAAGATACATGCCCTTGACCGGAATCGAATCTGAGACCCTTGAGACCATAGGCCAACGCTCTATCCACTGAGCCAGTGTTTTTCAACCTTTTTTGGGCAAAGGCACACTTGTTTCATGAAAAAAATCACGAGGCACACCACCATTAGAAAATGTTAAAAAATTTAACTCTGTGCCTATATTGACTATATATAAAGTAATTCTCTTGAATAGGAATCAAATAAACACAAAGAAAGTATTTTATAATTACTTTATTATGAAATATTAAGTAAACAAAATAGTGAAAAATTATAAAATTCTTGTCTCGTCTGCACCTACGGCACACCAAGGCAACATCTCTGCCGCGGAACAGCGGTTGAAAAACGCTGCACTAAGCCAAACCAGAAAGGGGCAAAAGGTATTTTTCTATGAAGACCAGACTATGGACTACATGAGCAGAAATTCGACTGAAACGAGGAAGAGGATTTTAACTCCATTTTTAATATAATGAGAAGCTATTAAGGGATGTTAAGCAAAGGAGTGATAGCCTTGCTTACATGTTTAAAAAGAACGGTATGGACATACAGAAAATGGTCTTTAAGGGGGCAGGAGTAGAGTCGGGGAGTCCAGTGAAGAGATTATTATAGCAGTGCAGATGACAGACTATAATGGCTATCTCATAAAGTAATGATTAGGGGAATAAGAACATAATATAAGTCACTCCTGATTCTTTTATTTCTCACAGATTTCTGGCTTGAGCAGCCAGAGATAATGGTAATACCATACTGGGTGAGAAGTACAGTTTTTTATGTTGTTATTTGCTTATTTATTGCTTTTGCTTTTTGAAGAAGAGAATTAAAAATGAAGATTTTGGTTGAGGCATGATAAGTATGAGAAAACTGGGTGTAAGAGTCTAAAGCTGAGGGCTAGAGATAACGTTTTCAGAAGTCATCAATATATCATCAGAAAATGAAAATGTATCAGGTCACATGTATATCACACTTAAAAAATGTACAGCCAGACAACTACAGAATCCCTAGTAATACATCAGCGTATTTCACACTCACCCTTTGGTCCACAGGGCTTAACCCCTGGGCTGTTTTCCCCTTCTTACTGTGCTGCAAATTGTCGCAATCATATTCAACCTCTGGCTTCCCAATATCTCTGCAAAACGTACAGATCCAGTCCCCACTGAAGAGGAAAACAGGCAATTAGTCCAGATAATGACAACAAAACCCACTCTCGGAAAGCTAAGTCCCTGGAGGTTAAGACTCTAATTTGTTTGTTTTCTCTCTCCTATTTTTTTTTTTTTTCCATACAGTGGAATTGTATAATAAAACCTTCCCAAAATTTTCCCAGTCACTCTTCAACTGATTACCTTCTGGAAAGCAATATAAAACCAGTGTCCACACTTTATCATTAATGCTGCAGCACTGACATCTTGGACATTTTACTGTTAAGCTATGAGTCTCTCTAGAAGGTAACACCAAAGGCCCGTCTCACTATGTATGCACTGGTTAACGAAGGCCGCCTGCCCTGACTTTCTGGTGTTTTGTTTTGTTTTTTTCCTTATAAAAGTAAACAACAAAAAGTCAATTTTCTCACGGGTACCTTGGAAAGCTAAGAAGTGTTGGAACATGACAAGTCAGATGGAAGACCTTGGGGCATTTCTCACAGCACAGGAGATCCCCTCCGTTCTGGCAGACAGCACACCAGTCCTCATTCGGGTCGTCATCTTTGCTGTTGCCATCTCCTCCCATCCTTGCCGACCTGTGCATGAGGCTTCGAATTGAAGACTTTCCATTAACAAGGCTGCTGAGCCCTGACTGTTTGCAGCTTTCATTCGTATCTGTAGGCTCAGTTTTCACATGGTTTTCCACTCCTGGTAATGCATCCAACTCACTCTCTAGATGCAGGTTGGTTGAGAGAGGTGGTGTCAAACTACTCTCAGGACTGCTCAACTAAAACAAAACAAGGACAACCTCTTGAAGAATCATTTAATCCATTATTGTTAGGTGTGTGTGTGTGTGTGTGTGTGTGTGTAAACCTTATGTCAACATGTATACAGATATACTGACCTAACTTAAAATTACTTTGGAAATCGTATTAGTGACATAAAGGAATAAAATTAACCCCAAATTTAGATAGGCATGTTAATCTGTGCTTTTAGGGAGCAGTCTCTGAAATACCGGTTCCCTCAGATAGTAAGGAAATGAATTTACCAGCTAAGCACACTCCTGGGAAATGAGCATGTGGTTATACTTTTCCTAAAGAGATGACATTGGTGTGTGATTTTTCACTCAAGAATCTGCTGCATAGCTTTTGAGGAGCATTCTGGCCACTTATCATTCTACAAATGTAGGAAAATTATGACAATATACAAAAGAATCTTCTAAGCTGTTGTGGAGGTACATTCCAGGTTAAGTTCTGGATGAAGAGGTGACACTGCTCTAAACCCAAGACAAACCATGCTGCTCTCTAAACCCACACACACTGCGCTCCACACAGCAGCTCAAGCTACATGTCTGTGTGCCAACCACACAGAAGCCCGAGCAGGAAGAAAAAAACCAAGACAGAAACTTCTAAACAGGGAGACCTGTGCCTTCTTTACTCTTTATTGTAAGTTCTATAGTGTGCCATCGGAGAACTCCAAAATGACTAATGATTCCTAAGCTAAAGGCAATCTTCCCCCATGACAAAATATTTTATTGTTAAACTTCTTCCATGTCAGCAGCCTTAATTCTGAATGTATAAGTCCAGGCAAATAGCCAAGGGTCATCTGTGGCCTGAGATGTTTAAAAAATTCAGATTAAGCCGAAACCGGATTAGCTCAGTGGATAGAGCGTCGGCCTGCAGACCAAAAGGTCCCGGGTTCGATTCTGGTCAAGGGCATGTACCTTGGTTGTGGGCACATCCCCAGTAGGGGGTGTGCAAGAGGCAGCTGATTGATGATTCTCTCTCATCAATGTTTCTAACTCTCTCTCTCTCTCTTCCTCTCTGTAAAAAAAAATCAATAAAATATATTTTTTAAAAATAAAATAAAAAAATAAAAAAATTCAGATTAAGATAGAACCTGACTTAGAATCATGGCAAAAAATATGACCAATTAAAAACAAAAAGATAATTTTAAGCAAATCCTTAGTACAATTCTTTTCTGATAATTACAGCTCACATTTGGAGACACTGTGGCTAGTACCAGGCACAGAAATGCGAGCATAAGGACCTGTTCACTGACGCACTATTCAGTCTACCCTGCTCGGAGGGAAGAGGCCCGGCAGACCCTGGCTTTACCATGCAGGCACTCCTCCGGCCGTCCTCCGTCTTCTCCTGCTTCACGGCTCCCGAAAAGCCACATATCTCATCTTCAGTCCCAGGCTCCTGCTTGACCTTCACTTGCTCAGACTTGAAACTAAGACTTGTCTTCTCAGCAGTTCTTCCCGATGACCCACAGCTAGTAAAAAACAAGAAGGCCACATGTCTGACTGTAATGTTCATTAATGTGAAAACAGTTTATTAATTTTAGGATGATAAGATACTTCATAATGTTAAGAAGAATGTGGTATAAACTTAGCTTCCAATTCTTAAAAATGTAAATCAAACTTTCAGAAGACCTTAAAAACCCGCTATGTTCTGAGGCACTACACTAAACCAGATAAGAAGTCTAGTAAACATTTTCCCTTCTCTATAAAAGTAGTTTCAATGCTTCTCTGCCCCGAACATCTGAAGGAAATAACATCCACGGTGGTTCATGAAGTCTTCTCAAAGGAATGGCTAGTTTAGTTTTTACAGTCGGGGATTGGGAAAGGATAACAGATAGTAAACAACCTACAATGCCGTTAGCTGAAATCACTGTAATGATACCAGACTAACCAGTTCTATCTAGAACACAAAGCAAAACCACTGGCAAGAGAAGGGAGTAACTGCTAACGCTGTGTTACTTCTAAGAACGAACACCTGTTTTTTCACTCCCTTTATACTTTTCTTCTAAAAGTACTAATTATTAAAGTATAATTATAAGGTCAAGCAAGTGTTTAAAAGGACCAACATTCAAAATCCAATAACATAAATCTTTTTTGCATTAATTTATTAATTTAAATTATTTAAAGAGTAAAAATCAGTCAACATTATTGTATTTTACCTTAAACACACTCTCTCCCACCACCCCCATTTCCTTAGTTCTGTCACCAAAAAGGGGTAAGAAACAAGGAAATATCTGATTTTCCGATCAATGAATCGTAATGTAAACATCTATGTCTTAGGCGACCATTCTAGTGGTTTTCAATCTGTGGGTCTGCTGTAGAGCCTATCACCAAAGGAAAGCACAGATATTTACATTGCAATTCATTAACAGTAGCAAAATGACCGTTATGAAGTAGCAGCGAAAATAATGTTCTGGTTGGGGCCACCACCACATGAGGAGCTGTGTGAAAGGGCCGCAGTGTTAGGAAGGGTGAAAACCGCTGTCATAGAGAAATGGCTGATTCCAGTTCTAAAGCAGACAATGTACAAGATGAACCTGGACAATCATTTCATAACAACAAACAAGGACGCTGTCAGAGGACGCTGGGATTATACTCCCCAAAAAAGCTCTGACAGGCCAAAGATAGAAAACTTGAAGCATCAACAAAATAACACCTACAATGGTTTGGGTCATAGAAAATATATTTAAATATATGAGTTCATAAAGTTAAAAATTATAAGAAAACTGGTCACTGTTGCAGGTGCTGGGAAATCAACTCAACTGGTAAATAGAGAGAAAGAATCTATTCACTCAGCTTTTCCCATAACTATAATATTAGAAAACGACATTAATTATTACTAGACCTAATAAATAGCTGGTGACAGAAAGTGTCTCTTTACAGAATTATTTAAAATAATAAACCAAGAAGGAATAATACAATAACTTAAATACATAATTTTTCAACCAGTTAAAAAAGAGTTAGGCAATGATCACTAAGGGTCACTAACACAGAACAAACAGTATGCGCCTTCCTGGGAATACACAGCACCACGACCCTGCCCCCAATCAAACCTGAACCCAGCACACCTCCTGATCTAAATACAACAGAGAGAAAAAGCAGCAGGCAGTGTATTTAAATGACAAAATGGATGGAATGCTATAGGAGAAACAATACACCTCACATACACGGATTCTGACTTCCACATATATATTGATGGCAATGTAAAGGTGTTTATGAGAAATTTTAAAAGGTATTTATGGGAAAAATTGGGACATCTGAACATTAACTGAATCTCTAGTAATATTAAAGAATTATCCATTAAATTTTTTCTAGGTGTGATAATAGTTCTGTGGTTATAAAATTTTTAAATCCGTTTATTTTTGTGATATATTCTGAAACAGTCACAAGTAAATAAGATATCTGAGATTTGTTTCAAAATAATCCAGACTAAGAGGGAATGAACAGAAGAATTAAGATTGGCCATAACTTGGTGATTACTGAAGCTAGGTGGTAAGTATATAAGAGTTCACTGTAAAATTCTACTTTTTAAAGTACATATTTGAAATAATTCTTAATAAAAAATTATATCTATTAATAATGTAATACTCACCTGCCTCTGCTGCCAGTACTAGACGTACTAGGGGGTCTTACAGGGGTGTGAGAATTGGATAAACCTACAAATAAGTCAAAATGAGTATTAATGCAGGTAAGATATTCAGAATTCTAACTACTAGTTACAGATTTCAAGATGATCAAAATTCAATTTAGCTGCCCTGGCCAGATAGCTCAGTTGGTTAGAGCGTTGACTGATAAATCAAGGTTGTGGGTTCAATAAGTGGACCAACAAATCAATCTGTTCCTCCCTCCTTTCCTCTATATAAAATCAATACATAATTATTTTTAAATTTCTTGAAAATCAGACCCAGGCTTAGCCCTGGTCAGGTATGGCATTTGTAACCACTGGCAGACCTCAACCAGCTTTTCTCAGCTGAGCACCATCCCCAGCCTCTCAGCGACACCCTCTGACAGAGAAACTCACCGAGAGAAAGCTATGTGCCCTTTCCCTGTGTTATCTGGTATATACACTACTCAGATTCCTATCATTCATTCTTTCTTTTTTTTAGAGTTCTAGAATAATTACATTAAACCTCAAAAATTGTATGACTCAAAAATGTATTAATGATGCATCTCATGCAAAAACCACATTTAAATTTGAACTATTCTTTCTCTAGAAATAATGAGGTACTCCGTTTCAGTGAGAAAACAATAACATCTAATTTATACCAGAAAACTATATCCCATAACCACTCTGCACCGTAACAGTGGGGAGCTGCTCCACTCCCTCCCTCGTGGTGAGGTCAGTAGAACACCGGGTTTGGGAAGAGAGCTACAGCTCATGGGTTTGATTGGTCACATTTAACAGTTTCCAATGAATTTAAGTTTTTGTTTTAAAATTGCCATTTGAAAATTCACTTGCCTTTCCTCAACTCTTTTTTTAAAACAAATTTTCCATTTTTCATTATTTTACAAAGTGTTTTGAACTTGGGTTGAAACCAAAGAATTCTTCAACACATGATCTATATCATGAAATATAAGACATGGAAAGTAAATGTAACTACAAACCCAGCAATGAGCATGAACAAAGCTGGGGAGAGGGGTACACTGAGTTCTGAACAGTGCGCACTACAATAAAAACTAATGCTACTTCAGTTAACTGAAGAATGCCTCAAGTACTTGAAGAAACCAGAGCAATCAGGAAAAATATATGTTATGAGATTGTTACTTTTGTGCGTCAACTAGTACCAGTTGTTTGTCCAAATATCAGCCTAAATGTTATTATGAAGGTATTTTAAGATGTGATTAACACCTAAATCAGTTCATTTAGGTAAAAAAGATCAACCTACAAAATGTGTTTGGGCCTAATCCTATGAGCGGACAACCTTGAAAGAGGACTGAAACACCAGAGCACATGTGTCAAACACAAGGCCCGCGGGCCAAATCCGTCCCGCCAGGCCTTGCAATGTGGCCCGCACCGCGCTGTCATCACTGCACTCCGCTGCGTTTCCATCACAATGACAGTTTATGACTGTTCAGTAAACCATTCGGCCCGCGATTTAGGCTGGATTTTAGATTTTGGCCCCTTCTCTGATTGAGTTCGACACCCCTACACCAGAGGAAGCAGACTCTGCCTCTGCACTGAAGGGCCACATCAGCTCTTCCTTGGCTCTCCAGCCTGGCATCTGCCCTTAGATTTCAGACTTGCCAGCCCTGACAATCACATGAGCTGTTCCTCAGCATCTCTCTCGTCCCCTCCCATCTGCGCACACATCTCCTAGGGACTCTTTTTCTGGAGAACCTGATACACCGGGAGAGAATTTCTGTAAGGTGTGGAAGAAGTGAGGCAATGCCTCAGCTGGTCTTACCTGATGATCCTGGAGACAGGGCAGAGGGGCCTGGAGAGGGATTCATGGTACTCGTAGGCTGTGGGGGGAGGTGAGTGCCTGAGATGTATCTACTTAGTAGATTATCTAAACTACTGGAACCAGCATCTTCCAACTGAAGAGACAAACAAAAAAGACAAATTTGCTTTGATTAAACAGAGACATCATTCATCTCAATAATATAACCATTTATGCTGTTTCCTTATAAATAGATTAGCCTACATACAAGTCGGATTAACTATTGCTTCCTTAGGCTCCCTGAGGCCCCATACAGAATAAAGTTGATGTGCATAAAGCTATAATAATAATATTCAACAAACACCTGGCAGATCAGGACAGAGCCAGCAATCCTCTAAGTTCTTTGTTCTGCCATGAAAACAGTGCTGACACTCTCTGGCATGTCTGCCTTTTCTCAAAACTGATGCAGGACCTTGTTTTTCAATATCCTTGTCCTGTCTTCCTCCCTCTATTTCCGCAAACATAGCTCCCCCAAACCATTCACCTAAACAGAATTTTAAAGCTCTCCCTATCTTCATACCCCACAGAGAGCCTGAGACGGAAGGTCCCTCATTGCACACACACAGGGGCAGTCGGCAGGCTGTGGGTTAGAGACACCCTGGAGCTGACTTTGGCCTGATTTCCAACTGAACATCCATTTCCTATTTTTTAAATATTTAACTACACTGAGAACTGTGATGATGAAATGAGAAAATATATTTGTAAGAAATAAACATATACTATTTAATTACGAAAATTACTGTAAGTAAAAGTTTATACTAGTCCTTATAAGAGATGATCAAATTCTTCTTAAATAACTGCTACCCTTGCTTACTGGTCTGTTTGTATCCACACTAGTGCCTTTTACTCTCCTCTTCTGCTAGCGGTGAGATCACTTTTTGAAAACTGAACACACATATTTATCACTTCCTCTTCTTTCCTCTCAAAAACCACACTGATTTCCATGACTATAAAACAGGAAAGCATGACATTGAAGGAGAAACTGTGAAAGAAACTATACATACAAAACCCAAGGTAGAATTGGATTGACAGAAAACTGATAAGAATAAAGCAGCTTGCCGAAACCACAGGAGGCGCCCCTGCAGGAGGCAGCTGATCGATGTTTCTCTCTCATTGATGTTTCTAACTCTCTAACCTTCTCCCTTTCTCTCTGTAAAAAAGTCAATAAAATATATATTTTTTTAAAGTAAACGATACTCTACTAAGAAGGTATATCAGAGAAAACGTGGATCCCATTCTCTGCACACTTTAAAAAATTAGGCACTGAGGGCACACATTCCAGAGCTTCTTGTCTTGATCTCACAGCTATTCTGGGCGCGATGACAAGGAAAGCACATGCACCTCTTGCCTGTTCTGCCCACCTTTCCAGAGATGTGAACCTCTACACTTCCACCACCTGGTCTGAGAGAGTAACCCTAGCAAATCACTGCAAGTGTGACATCAGCACCTTCCTTCTCCCTTTGAAAGTTTCTTTAAGAATTGGAATCAAGTCCTGTTTATCTTTTTATGAGAGGCTTGGTGCACAAATCTGTGCATAGGTAGGGTCCCTAAGCCTGGCCAGCTATCAGGGCTGATCAGGTTCCCCGCATACCCACCTCCCCCTTCCCTCGCTCCCTCAGCACCCTGCCACATGTTCTGCACCGACCCCTGGTGGTCAGAGCATATCATAGGAAGCAATCAAACTCCCGTTCTCCAGGCTGAACTCCTGAGGAGACACTTTGCATATTAGCGATAGATAGATAGATAGATAGATAGATAAATATAGATCATTAATGCCCAGGACTTCAGCATACATAGTGCTTAGTAAAATGTCAATGACTCCTTAAACATGTACACACCTCTCTCTGGTTGCCCAAAGCCTCTGAAAACGAATAGCTTTCAAGACCTCCAATCCCAAACTATATCCCTGCAATTTCTACAAATATTAGGGAGAGAACTGGACTTGTAATCAGGAGTCGAGGTTTACAATTACAACTTTTCCAACACATTTATTTACTGGGTGACTTTGAGAAAGTCAAAAACCTCTTAATCTCATCCATAAAGTAGATATATTACATATATATAACCCTAAGTGACCGGTAGACCAATCGACCATTTGACCAGTCGCTATGACACGCACTGACCACCAGGGAGCAGACACTCAATATGGGAGCTGGCCCCTGGTGGTCAGTGCGCTTCCACAGAGGAGTGCCACTCAGCTGACTGACGGAGGCCAGATTTCCCCTAAGGGTCCCAGGTTGCGAGAGGACGCAGGCCAGGCTGAGGGTCCCCACTGGTGCACACGGGCCTCTAGTATCATATAAAATGATTTCAAGCATTAAACTGATATAATGTCTGTTAAAGTTCTTTGTAACTTAGCAGTTTTATTTTTTACACACACATTCCAAAAATTTCCATATAGTCCACACTCTTAGTACCAACACAACTAGAATTTGCTTAGCCAAAAAAGCTCTCTCCTAACATCTGGAAAGCAATCAGGTTAAAATAATTTACAATGAATTCCTGATTCTGAAACACTATTGGAGTTATATTGAGGATTGCTAGTTTTAATGCATGTAACTTTTAAAAATTCAAATATATTCTAAATTTAAAATGCCTCAATTTAAAAACAATCAGAAAAATACACTCAAAACCCCTAATTAAGTCACGGTTCTGAGTCTTTCACCGAACTTGGGCGCGAACCTGGATGGGCGGGATGTCCGGCAGCGACGGCAGGTTCTCGGGGTTGGTGACGGAGGGGATCAGCTCTATGGCTGTGACAGACGGGCTGGCGGGGCCTCGGTTCGCACTCGCCATGGTGGCTGTGGTGGGGCTGGTTGGGTTGATCGTGGTGTTGTGCACGGACACAACAGGAAAGGGGCCGGCATGCCCTGGGTTCGAGTGCTGTTAGGAAACAACATGCTATCGTTATTTAATCAGCAAAGATATCTTAGTATGAATATATCTTGACAACAATTTTTAATTTAAGGAAGGTTGTACAAGTGTCTGATAACTGTGGTGAAGAAACAAAAAAGTAAGCCCTCGCAAACATATACAGAAAATAAATAATAATCCAACTTAGCCTTCTCATTTTTCTATTCATTTTGTGTAGTATTTAGGAAAAGCCAAACTTGACAATAATTTTCAACCCGTCAGTCTGATGACATCTTATTCAGAACAAAGAAGCATGTAAATAGATCATCTGGAAGCCCCCGAGTTTTCAAAGAGCATTTCTTAAAAGCCACTGTTTTGTCTACATTCCTCTTTGACTCTTTTTTTTTTAAGTAATTAATTGTGTATTGTATAATTTATATGTAAATAATGACTCTACAAACAGAAATATTACATCAATTCCTGACTCTGACACATGTGACAATCTCAGTAATTTAGAAATGTGTATAATGATGAACAAAAATGAACATATTTCCTATTGTGAGGGCTGCTATGAGGATCATTTAAGATCACACAGATGAAAAGCTTTGGAAAATAAATTTCTATACACATATACATTGAGTGGCCAGATTATTAAGATCTCTGAATGCATAATAATCTGGCCACTCAGTATATGTATTAGAGGCCCGGTGCATGAATTCATGCATAGGTGGGGTCCGGCCAGCCTGGCCAGGGGTAGGGGACATGGGCAGTTGGCCAGCCTGCCTGCTGGTCGAACTCCTGGTCAAGGGGACAATTTGCATATTAGCCTTTTATTATATAGGATATATATTGGTCAGATTATTATGCATTCAGAGATCATAATAATCTGGCCACTCAGTGTAAACCATTTAAAATATTAAAAAATTTAAAATTCTAAAATTCAGGGATTCTGTAGGGACCTAAAGTGTAAGGGCACTGGTTTGTGTGACTCTGTAGCTTCTGCACTCTTCCAAAGGGGTACCTGCTCCTCCGAACCCTTGAAGGCTTTCCATTACTAAGGGGCATATGATTATGTGAACACTTCTAGGCAATTAATGACCAGATCCTCAATCTCAAGTACTTTTTTTCTAAAGAAAACCCAATTTACCTAAGAATGTGCTGTGGTCTGCAGGTTCTTTTTTCACTACTTTTGCAACTATCCTACCCCACACAAAAAAAACAGCAAACCTCTGACCCATTCCTAATCTTATCTAGCACATTGCCCCAAGGTAAAAAACAAACAAGAGACAAGTAAAGGTACAATAAAGCTGTCACATTGTTGATCAAGTGGCCTGATGCCAAAACCTGTCACACATTTTTAAGTGGGTTCTGATATTTGATGAGCAACAAGAATTAAGGAAGACCTAAAAAGCCATCAATTGATGATATTTTAAAGTTTTGACAGCTCATTGTGAGATTCAGCTTTGATAACCTGGAAAATGTTCAAAGAATTGAGGGAAATTCTTATAATTACCAGGCGCAAAATTCTGTGAACATGTCTCCTGAGCATGAAAACAAAAAATCAAGCTAGTAATAAAAACTGATGTTGAATTCTGACTTACTCTACCAATAACACATATAACTGAAAACTCAAAGAGATGTAGATCTAAAAGAATTTTACTTTTTTTCCCTAATATTCTTAAAGCATGTAGATTAATATGCTGCTTAAACAACTGTATAGGAAGAATTATAATACAAATTTGGTCCAAAGAAAAAGTTTTAGTTTAATAATAGCCTTACTGTGCTGGAAATTTAACAATTTTTATTTCGTAATGAACATTTTTTTTCCTGCAGAAAAATTGCAAAGACTGATTGATTTATAACTTTATCTACATAAATATATTTTTATAATAAAATGCTAGAAAAAGTATAAGAGATTTTCAAGTCCCAGCATAAAATTTTGACTTTCAAAAAAAGAGCATGCTGTGCTATTTGGGACACCAGTGGAACCGTTTACTAGAATAAAATGTTAGAGTTTTACTTTATAATGTCAATATTTACAATATGCCAGAAATTATGTCTTTTGCAACTATTTAAACTTAAACTTACAATGGAACGTTTAAATGTCAATCTTTAAATGTGAGGGAGCCCTTATTGTTCAAAAGCCTTTCCAGAGATAAAGGACAGAATCTGTCAGCTTTAGTTTGCAGATTGATGTAAGAGAATAAGAGTCCACTCATTTATGAATAAGCCCTCCTAGAAATCCTGATTCAGTGGGTGTGGCTCAGAATCCATTTCTGATAAGGCCTCCCAGTCATTCTGATGGTCTTTTAAAGAACACTAGCTGGTTTAGCTCAGTGAATAGAGCCTCGGTCTTTGGACTGAAGGGTCCTGTGTTAGATTCCGGCCAAGGGTACATGCCTGGGTTGCAGGCTCGAACCCTGATAGGGGGTGTTGATCAATGATTCTCTCTCATCATTGATGTTTCTCTCTCCCTCTCACTTCTTCTCTGAAATCAATAAAAATATGTGTTTTTTTTATTTTTTAAAAAAACCTTTAAAAGAAACATCACTCCAAATGTTATAAATGAGCTGCATTCTTTCATAACCAGAAATCCTATGTCAAAGTAGCTTCATTTTATAATCATGCCTCCTATACAAAGATAACCTATTATTCAGACAAAGAGTAGAAAACATGTCCCTAAATATATTTATTTTTAAGGGTGGGTATATCTACATCCCAAAAAGAACAATACTAAGTAGAGAGAAGCAAAAAAGTAAAAATAAAATTTTAAAGATACGTGGTTTTGTTCTCAAAGTCCTTTTTTATGTATTGAGTTCAAAATGTCACATTAAAAGAGCAGAGGACCATTTCTGGAAACTATGGTTCTAACCTTGGTTTTACCGTTATCTCTTGTGACTGGGGTCAATAACAAGCTCTGTTGTAACTTAGATCTATAAAGTGAATTGGCTGGACTAGATCAGGGGCCTCAGCCCATAGTACATAGAGGGCTTCATGGCTTCAAAGAAGTTGTTAAAATTGAATACAAAATGTTATGTCTTCATTCTCAAAAGTATTAGTGACTCTCCCCAAACCAACTGATCAAGAAAAATGATGTCTGTTAGTTTTAGAATTGTACGGTTCTTACAAATGTAACTCTAGGCATACTTGTCTTTGGAGGTGTGGCTGCATCATGGAATACTGGGGGGCGCTGTGCCTGGGGATCGCTGGTATCCGGGCGGCGTTCTGAGCCAATCGCATCTGATGGGCTTGGAAAGCTCCGCAGTTCATGTTGTTTCTTTGCATTGTTTGCACACTGATCAGTCTTGGAGGCTACAAAGGGTAGAAATTGCATTTATATAATTATGTTTTTGTAGATTTATTTTCAATCATTAAATGTTATATAAAAAGACTTCAGTAGGAATACAGAAAAACATAAAGTAAAAAGTGTAAGTCATTCTCCTCATCTCTAGCTCCAAGCCCCTTCTCTCAGTATATGTGTGTGTTTAAAGCACTAACTTAACCAACCCTGGGTTAACAGCTCTGACTTGGATGGGGGAGGGGAGAGCAGAGAGGTACAGGGATGGGAATGATTCGAACAAATGCCTGAAGAGTATATCAGGCCCAGGCAGCGTGGCTCAGTGCTTGAGCGTGGAACTATGAACCAGGAGATCACAGTTCCATTACCAGGCAGGGCACATGTCCAGGTTGTGGGCTCGATCGCCAGTGTGGGGCGTGCAGAAGGCAGCCAATCAATGATTCTCTCTCATCACTGATGTTTCTAACTCTCTCTCCCTTTCCTTCCTCTCTGAAATCAATAAAAATATATATATATATCAGTATTGGGCAAAAATAATCTGGCTCTTTGCCCCAAGATCACACGTGTAAAACAAAAAAGATCTGGTTTGTAGGAATAAAAACTTGTGTCCTAATGAGTTAATTTTGCTTCCCATGGTATTTACTTACTGACCCTCCTCACTCTTCCCAACATCCCTGCGATCCCCAGAACAAATATTTAAGCTCTGACCTTCCAGTGTTCTCCGTGCTAGTCACGATGAAATGGGTAACTCATTTATAGAGGACAGAGTCAGCCCTGAGGTCTCCACAGTCTGTACCAATCATCAGTGACATATGCTCACCTGCTGTTGTAACATCTGAGGGGCTGCTTGTCGTGGGTGCTGTTGTGTTGTTGTTGTTGCTGTTGATACAGGAGCAGGCGGTTGCTGTATCCTCATCTGTTGCAACTGCTGATGCTTCTGTGCATACACTTGTTGTTGCATGTGTTGGAGTCGAAGTTGTGCCAAGTTAATCTGTCCAGGAGTCTTACTAATGTGGTTTGTCCCCGGAGGAACTTGCCCAACTACAACGTTAGGAGTATACCCAGGCGCTGGTTTACTCTCTATTACTAGATTACCTAAAGAATTTAAAAAATAAGAATAGTTTGCATATAATCAAATAAATCATCTACTTTGTGGATTAATCAATATCTTTTCCTTTCCTCTGACAACCGTAAGTACTCAAAACTTTTGACAGTGTAGCAGGGATGGGAGCTAGGTTTAAAGATGATAAAAATCAGAATCCTAATATAGTCCAAAGCCAAATAATAGGCTTTTGATTGCTTAGATTACCTGCCCTTATGCTTATTTACGTAGATTTACAGAAAACTTAAGAGTTGAAAGAGATGTTATTAGAGGAAGCCCATCTAGTCCGTCTAAATCAGCGGTCACCAACCAGTGGTCCACTAGTGGTCGGTGAGGTCCGAAAGGTTAGGGACTGCTGGTCTAAATCAATTCTCCTTTGACAAGATTCAAGAATATTCAAGATTACTATTGCTGATTCCACCTGCTTTTGAATTGCCAAAATATGCAGGCAGAGTATTTGCATTGCTATAAAACTGTCTTCTGTGGAAATCCTGAATGTTTTAAACCACTTATGTCCTTAGAAATGAGAATTTTCCTGATTTCTCCTATCCATGTCCCTGTACCTCTCTTGCTCTCTCCCTTCCCCCATCCAAAGCAGAGGCCACTGCTTTCTAAACACAGCAGGCAAACTTTAGGAAGGTTTGATCCAAGGTCGAGTTGGCAAACCTTTCCTATAACGAGCCAGATATTTTAAGCTTCATAAGAACTGTCATGTGTCCTTCGTTTTTTATTTATTTGCTTTTACAGCCCTTTAAAATGTAAAAAAACAAACTTAGCTACCTCGCCACACAGAAACAGTTTGCTGATGCCTGATCTAAGGCCTTAGCCAAATCTAAATTGACACAAACACTACTTTTCCACAGAAGGCTGGCCACTTCTGCTTTGACAGCTTCTACACAGTTCTGATTGTTGGGGAAGGTTGGGGTTTGCCTTGTTTTAACCTGAGCTGTTGGTTGGCGTTCTGTGACTTCCACCTGTGTCCTCGGGCCCCTGTGAAGTGACAAAAGCAAAGCCCATTCCTCTTCCGGGAAAGAGCTGCTTTTATCTTTCCAACATTCCTCAGCCACAGCCTGCGGACACGTCAGCACCCTGGACATCCTCCTCCGGAGGACAATTTGGTTCAATGAATATACAACCTACTGAGCATCTAAGAAATTCCTTCGGAGAAGGAAGACCCGTTATCTAAGCTTCAATGAAAGAGCCAATGTCACTGTAACAGATGTGAAGAAATGTACATATTTATAAAACTATGCAGGAGACTCTCAACATTCTTAAAGACATAATGAACATATAGTTTGAGTTTCCAATGAAAAACATATTTTCCAAGAGCCAAGTTAAAAAACTTTCAATACATAAAATTTGCTTTAGATACTTTCTCCTAACTCAGTGTTCCAAGTTATATTCATAAAACTAATGATTTCTTACCTAAATTGACTACGTTCTTTGCCCAGAAGGTGGGATCACAATGAAAACGTATTGCTCCGTTAGCAGCGGGGACGGGATCACAACGAGCTTTCAAAATATGGCGCAACTGAAAAGTAATCTTAAAGGGGAAAATTCACATTAGTCTTAAAATTAAATATCACTTAGAAAAACATAAGAAAAGACATAAAAGCTCATGTAGCCCCACAGTGTCAGTCTCAAATGAAACAATACCAGTGTGTCAAAGACTACCTATATCAGCAATCAAATGCACATGCTCGCATCTCTGCCATTTCTGAGGATAAACTGCATACAATACTAGGTATCTTCAAAACAGAATACTGTATGATTCCAGTTACATGAAATTCTAGAAAAGACAAAAATCAGACTAATAGCTGCCTAGGGCCTGGGGTAGAGAGGAACAAGGGAACTTGAGTGGGTGATGGAGGTTTTCTGTGTCTCACTGTGGTGGTGAACACATTTGCCAAGATTCAAAGTCTGCACTTTGGACAGGTGCAGCCCTGCGCGTGTGAGAAGGCCCGCCCGCAGAAGCACGGAGACGGCGCCTCACCAGCCGCTTGCTGTACAGGAGGGCGGTGCTGCTGCCGCTCGCAATCGCCCAGCTGGTGAAGTTCATGACGTGCTTCACCTGCCGCGAGAGGCCCGTGATGTCATTCTGCTGCTGCACCAGCTTCATCTGTCTTTCTTTTGTGACAGTCTGGAACAGAACGAGAGGTTCACCCAGGAATTCTGAATGAAAACATCAAGTCATTATTTCTACTGAAAAGGAACACAGTACTGCCTGGCCGGTGTGGCTCCGTGGTCGAGTGTCGACCCATGAACCAGGAGGTCATGGTTAGATTTCTGGTCAGGGCACATGCCCAGTTGCGGGCTCGATCCCCAGTAGGGGACGTGTAGGAGGTAGCTGATCAATGGTTCTCTCACATCATTGCTTTTCCCTCTCTCCCTCTTCCTTCCTCTCTGAAATCAATAAAAATTAAAAAAAATAAAATAAAATGAGCAAAATACCTACTAGTGTGTGTGTGTGTATATATATTTAACATGGAAAAGTTAACAAACTCCTCGTTATTTAATGAGCCTAAGATCAAAAGAAAAGTTATTCACAAAAGTGGGACTAAAAATTCCTTCTCTAGAGAAATTGTTACTTATATCTCTTTTCTCCTTTCAAAAGATGCAACATCTTTGTTATTCTATCAGGCTAATCCAGAGATTTTTCAACCAGTGTGCCACACAAATTAGAAATGCAACACTTGATCTCTTTTCCCTTATAATGTCAAGTAAAAAATGACAACAGCCAACACGACAATAGCCATCCAATGTGAATGAATCAAAATTATATCTTTTTTGGGAGGTGAGATCAGCAAAAAATTTAGTTATTAGTTTAAGTATGCCATAAGATGAAAAAGGTTGAAAATCACTGTGCTATTATACGGAGTCTATTGCATCATAAGTTGACTTTTAGAAATAATGTTATATAATCTTAACTCACTACACTTTTCAGGCCAAAGAAAACTTTCTGTTACCAGTGCCACCTACTGGTGTGGCATGAAGCTGATGTTCAAATCTCTTCTCTTAAATACCCAGACAAAATGAGAAAGATGAATTCCACAGCTCTAAGAGCAGAGATTAGGGAAAGTTTTGATCTGACAATAGTTCATAAAGAACAAGTGAATAAGTGAAGGTTGAAGGAAAGACTAACTTGGAAAAAATGCTGCAAAGGAAAGAAATAATCTGCTTTTGGGAAAGTAAAAATAATCTGCTTTTGGGGAAGAAAGAATAGGTAATGTCCTGTCCTTTGACAATCAGCACACCAAACAACCTATCTACTTCGCTCTTAACCACTTTCTTTCTTTCTTTTTTTTTTTTTTTTTACAAAAATGACTCGATTTATCAGACAATTTTTTCTCTAAGAAAACAAGTTGCCCATTTTATAATGTAGAATCAATGAATAACAGTATTTGACTGCCAGAAGTTTGACAACTTTCCTGGAAATCTTCCCTCTTATAAAACTTGGGGAAAACTCTATTTTATAAGTTTAAAAACATATTACACTAGAGAACATCTATTGTTTAAATTATCAGCACATTAGATTTAATATAAGGTATTTATGTATATTTTAGCATTAAGAGGCATCTTTTAATTCTAAAGTTCTTGAAATGGTTTAAGGACATTATTTTAGACCTATCGTTAAAATGTATTTACAGTAAATTAAAAAATATTAAAAAATAATTACATGCCCACTGTTTGTTCCCATGGTCCTTTTGAAAACAAAAATCTATCAGGGTTAAGTGCAACCAGCTGGATGTGTATTAGGAAAGAGACCATCATCTCTAACAATGTGTGTTAGAGAACTTTTAACCTCACAATGTGCCTCAATTGAAAGACGAAATTCAGAAATAACACTACACTGACAATTTCTTTCATGTATATGTAATTATATGTCTAATATTTCTAAGTGCTCTATGAGGAACAGAACAGAAAAAAAACCTACTCTGGAAAATTTGAGGTTAATAGTAATGAAGTTAATAGTTATGAGGTTACAGTGGATAGAGCATTGGCCTGCAGACTGAAGGGTCCCAGGTTGATTCCGGTCAAGGGCATGTACCTTGGTTGCAGGCACATTTCCATTGGGGGTGTGTGCAGAGGCAGCTGGTCGATGTTTCACTCTCATTGATGTTTCTAACTCTCTGTCCCTCTCCCTTCCTCTCTGTAAAAAATCAATAAAATATATATATTTTTTAAATAAGGCAATCAAAAAATACTCATGTATGCCGTGGCTGGTGTGGGTCAGCGTTTAGAGTGTTGGCCCACAGACCAAAGGATTGCAGGTTTGATTCCCAATCAAGTCAGATACCTAGGTTGCAGGTTCAATCTCTGCCCCCCAGTAGGAGCATGTGTAGGAGACAACCAAACAATGTGTCTCTCATATCAATGTTTGCTCGTTCTCTTTCTTTCTCTCTCTCTCCTCCCTCCCTTCCACTCTAAAAATCATTGGAAAAGAATCTGTTCAACAGTGTAGAAAATAGAACCCCATATCATGTAAGCCTACGTAAGAGCACAAAATTTTGAGAACCAATCAACTATAGTGAGTAGAGATGATGAATCTTTGATTAAAACTTAGTTTGGGTTTCACAAACTAACTGGATTCGCATATAGAAATTTACATCTACATATTAATCTCGAATATGTAAAACAAAGATCTAATATAACAAAACTACCAATAAGTTTGAAATTTATAAATTTCATCCAGCCAGTGTAGCTCAGTGGTTGATCATCCACCCATAAACCAAGAGGACGCTGGCTGGATTCCCAGTCAGGGAACGTGCCTGGTTGTGGGCTCAGTCCCCAGTCGGGGTGTGCAGGAGGCGGCCACTGATGTTTCTCTCTCACTGAGGTTTCTCTCTCTCTATCATTCTCCCTCACTTTCTCTCTTTAAAAAAAGAAATCAGTAAAAATCTATTTTATAAATTACGTTTACAAATTGCAAAATGAGCAGCTCTTTTTGCAAAACTATGGGAAAATTTTTTAATTAAGTGAAACATGCAAATGACTCAAGCGAACTCCCACTATACATTCACATGCATATAAAGATTAAATTGAGGGCCTGGGAGGAGGGGAGGGAAGGAAGGTGGCACAATGTGGTGGGTCAGCTTTGTCTTCAGTAATAATCCTTTCATTCCTAAGAGGACAATACTAATTTATTCAGCTAAAATCAGTCGTATTAAATTGTGGTGCAAAGTAACTACCTCAAAAAAATGTCTATTTTCCAACAGAACATTTTAAAAAAATTTTTAGTTTACTTCCTTATTCCCCCAAACCAATCTAAAAGACTTTTCGATAAACATTAAAAAAAAAAAAAAAAAAAAAAAAAAAAACAGCTAAAGATCAATAGAAGCAGTTTTTGACTTTGGCTTTGAACCGTACCTCTAGCTGCTGTAAGAGAGATTTTCCTTTCTTATTAATTTCATTGATAAGGGTGAAAATGGCCACTTTTATTTCCTGTTCTACTCGTTTGTTAGTCTCATTTACTTCTTTTATCCTGAATAAGAGAAATGCATCATTAGGTTATCAATTTATCTCTAAATCATCAACTTACAGAAATTCAATTGGGCACTTAACCGAGCAATTAAAATTAAACCTTTGTCAAAATGTACTAGTATTATGTTTCAGCAGACCTGAGAACTCATTTTGGTCCGAGCAAGTTATGTATATGGACAAAGAATGGATGAAATAGTCAGTCTTTTTAAATTAAATTCATAAAGGCCAGTTTATTGATTGGGTTGGTAATATCCTTCAGTTCCCATGACATGAATGTCATATACAAATATCTGACATCAATGCTTGCTGGTATCAAATCTGGCACACTGGTTCTATTTAATCTTAATGCTTTTGAAGAACAATGTGCAAAAAACAATGTTAAAACCAATAATTATCTTTTCAAATAATAGGAATTAAGTTTAGAAGCATTAATTTTCATTTATAACTTAACCATTTCAAATATGGGTTCTAATATGCCCTTTCATAAATCTTCTCAAAATGGTTTATTGTATACAGTTAAAGGCATAAAACATTTTCAATCCATTCTTTTAAAATAGCTGTTAGATGTTCTAGAAACAGGTATAAGCTCCCACTGTGGTTAGAAAAGTTTTGGTTGCTATTTTATTTACAAAATAAATAGGGGAAAGCCCCACTAATATGAATAAATAAAATGTTAAACAACCATAAGAAGGAAACCTTCAACTTTTATTCACTCTACTTCTGTACAAACTATAACCCACACTTTCAACCCAGAAATTGACCTTTAATTGCCAAATTCAAATCTGAGGACTTTAATACACTTAATCCTAATAACATAGTTTTCTCTCCTTTGTACATCAGTGCTTGTTTGGGCACTTAAAAATTTTATTCAATTCTATCCTTAAAGTCCTTTTTTTAAAATGAGAGTACTGATTACTAATGATAAGACATATGGGACTCAAACTTAAAATTATTTTGGCCAAAGATTGAAATCATTAAGCATGCTGAAAGCAGAGAGCATTTAGCCAGAGTCAGAATCTCATTGGATTTTAGCATGTCTGCTATATGTTCAATTGTGAAGGAAGAAAAATATGAATGTACATTGGAAAATGGAGGAAGGTCACCAAAAAATATGTCTAAGAAGAGAAGCATCAATACCTTTTTTTAAAGTTTTCGGAAGATGAAATCATCAATCTCCCCAACCCTTTGCAATCTTATAAAACAAACTTATTGCTCTACTTCTCTACATAAATTCAGAAACATACATACAAAATATGTATAAAACATAGACAAAAATATGAGACTGCCATATGAATCAACTCATCCTTTCTCTGAAAAGAACGTCCATCTATAATTTATGAGAAGACAGTAATGTCCAATATCACCCGCAATATATCAACATACCCAAAAATCCTGACACAGCCATAAGAACTAACCATCCATGGTGAGTCTGTATATTTACATATATGTGCAACTTCTTAAAATGAAAATTCTACCCCCTTACTGTCCAACAATTTACTATTTTCTAACATATAATGTATATTCATTCATTCATGTATTTAATTTTTTTAGTATCTACTAGGTGCCATCTTAAATAATCATAAATGAATTTTAATATTCCAAGAGTACCTAAAAGTTCTAGCATTTGTGAATCTGAATAATCAACATCTATCAACTCTATTCATAAATCCAGGGATATACAAGCTTTAATTATGCCAGCTCCAAGTGTTAGTCTTCCTACATTAAGGGCCCTCATTTTATTAATCTATTCACTTATGAAACTTACTCATATTTGCCTTATCAATAAAGTTGATTTAGAAATGAACCAAAATCAAATTTTTTAAATACTAATGGTGTAACTGATAAAAATAATGGCAACGATAAAAATTTGAGTTTGCTATGTGCTGTATATTCATCTTATAATATAACACTTTAAGAGAAGTGCTGTTTTTAATGCTCGTTTTACAGATGAGGAAATAAATTTGTCCACCTTCTTCCTATCCTCTCTCCTGTGTCTTCCAGAGTCTCTAGTTAAATTTGATAATTCAGCCCTGGCCAGGGGGTTCAGTGGTCTGGAGCGCTGTTCCACACCACAAGGTTGCAGGTTTGATTCCCAGTCAGAGCCACACACCTAGGTACGGGTTCTAGCCCCAGGCGGGGAGCGTACAGAGGCAACCAATTAACGGTTCTCTCTCACAGCAATGTGTGTGTCTCTCTCTCTCTCCCTCTCTCTCTCTCTCTCTCTCAATAAAAACATATCCTCGAGTGAGGATTATTTTTTTTAATTTATAATTCAACTCTCTACATATTAATTGTATTTTTCACATTTAACTAAGGTTTACAAAGATTAGATTCTTACTAATTATAAAACAGTCAAAGATATATCCTAAAAAGCTATTCAAAAATTTGATCAATTAAATTTTACTGAATTAACAAATATTATACTCCAAACTCAAACTTATATCATTTACCCCTCCCCAAAACTAATATTTTTAATATGCTTAGTATTAATATATTTTTTAAAAATTTTAAACTGAACCCACTGTATTTAATAATCCTTTAAGTGAAATCATAGTTTTAAGGCAACTCACTTACCTATTCTGCACCTGAGTAGCTGCAAAATGAACATAGTTCTTCTTCTCAAGAAGCTTGGCTAGTAGATTCTCAATTGCACCTTTCTGGTTTTGAAAAGCTTCTTCCAAAAACTGGTACCTTAAAGCCAAAACAAAAACTACATTTAAGACAGGAAATTATTAAGGTTTTGGAAATGAGGAACTGCTGCACAGGTAAATCTAGAAAGCTTAAATGATCAGCATTGTATGCTGACCACACATACATTACGTCAATAGCAACTTTTAATTACCAATACTTCTCCAGCCGACCCAACCCTGAAAAGCCATTGTAAGATTTAAAAAAATAACAAGCCCTAATCAGTTTGGCTCAGTGGATAGAGCATCGACCTGTGGACTCAAGGGTCTCAGGTTCGATTTCGGTCAAGGGCATGTACCTTGGTTGCGGGCACATCCCCAGGAGGGGGTGTGCAGGAGGCAGCTGATAGATGTTTCTCTCCCATCGATGTTTCTCTCTATCCTTCTCCCTTCCTCACTGTAAAAAAATCAATAAAATGTTTTTAAAAAATAAATAAATAACTTAAAAACTGTTCAAGTGCTCTTACATTAGAGTTCTGATTCAGGATGACTTTTTTTAGTCCAAATATTAGAAGTTTAATAAACAAGCTGCTTTCTCTCTGATGATAAATGTGCCTTATGAAAATAATATGCATAGATAAGAAACCTTGATTTGTCATCATAGCTCTAAACCTAGCTCCCTGAGAGGACTAAGAGCAGATATGAATTTGTCATTTCTACCAGCTATTTGGATCTCATCTGAAAAGCTTTTTTAACTTTAGAAGAATTTACAAAAAAACAAAAATGAGTTTGGCAAAGGTTTTTCTTACAGTAGTTGTTCTCAACTTTCACTGAGAAACTAAAACCATCTAGGATGGTTTACCAGTATTCTTCAAATACTTTTAAAGGTTCTGATATCCAAAATGTAATATAAGATTCTTATTAACCAGGCTGAAGTAGCACTAAGGCATCAGTATTATTTTAAAGCTCTCTAGGTACTAATATATCTAAGATTGCAAATATCTACTTTAAAGCTTATTTACAGGTATTCATCAATCCATCCAATTTTTAATTTAAAGCTCAAATTCCAAGAAGCTATTTCTTTAGGAAAATACTTTCAACACCATTATAAACCATCTTACTCTTTAATAAAAATGGACATCAGGTTTTAAGCAACCACTCTCTTTTAAACCATATGAATGCTCAAAAATAATCCACAAATCCCCTTCTCTCACTATATACACCAAACTGCAACGGGGGTAAGAAATATTAAGGTGGATCAAAGGACACTTTCACTTGCGGCCATGACAGAGTAATGGGTACCACACTAGCCCCGCTACCAAAAACGATAAAACAAGACAAAAATATGAGGCAGCTGTACTCAGTCATTAGAAAACCTTTGCCAAACTCATTTTTCAGAGAAACTCTGCAGTCCTTCAGAGAGAATCACCATCACCATGCCTCCCTGTCTGTGCACAATTCCGTAACTGGCAGAGAGAGCTAAGGGCCAAGCAGAGTACAAAGTTTCTTTGAGCTGAGGAGGCAGAAACCAGGGCTGGAACTACTAAGTAAGCACCTGGAAGCCACGGAGTAGGGTCCTGGAATGAAGGAGCTGTGCACAGAGAGGCTGAGGACAAGCGAATCCCTCACAACCCTCTGTGCAGTGTCTGTGCCACACGTGCACAGAGTGAGGTCTCGCTGCTGTAAAGCTGACTATGGAGAACACAGCTAGAGGTCACGCGGCCCTGGCAGACAGAATTCCAGCTGAGCAGTGGGGGCAGGGACTCTGCTCACCACCCAGGCATCTACCTAAGAAACCAGAAAGGCCACACCTTAAAGGACAATAACTATAGTTGGAACAACTTCTACCCTCGGCCTATCTTGTCCTAACAAAGCCTAAAACCAAACCTTCATTTGATCTTTCAAGAAACACAATTCAGAAGTTAAGTCCAACCAAGTTACAGACCTGGGAAATACCCGGGCTTTTCACAGACCATCCATAAGTAGATGTAAAAACAAGCTTACAAAAAAAGGTGATCAACCAGTAGCTTAACTGCCCCCTAGAACAATAATTAAAGAGTCTGCAGAGAAAGAGAATCCAAAGTTTCAATAATATATCACCCACAATATCTAAATCTCAATAGAAACTCACTAGGCATTCAAAGAAATCGGAAAGTATGACTCAAAGGAAAATATACTAAAACAAACAAACAAAACCCTGACACAAGATAATCCAGATGTTCTATTAAGCTAAAATTTTAAATGGTCTATCATAGATTTTTTTCAAAATTTAAATGATAACAGGTTCTTAACAGTAAACTGGTGGGAAAACTCAGCAGAAAAAAATGAAAACTTAAAAAAAAAATGGAAAGTCCAAAAAAGTACAGTAATTGAAATAATTCACTAGATGGGCGTGACAGCAAATGGGTGATGGCTGAAGTAAGGGTTAGTGAAAATGAACACAAATAAAAAGTTTTAAAGTCTGAAGAAGAGAGAATAGATTGAAGGAAAATGAACAAAGCATCAGAGACCAGTGTGACAAAATCAAAGTTTAACATATGTGTGCTTGGAGTCCCACAAGACAGTAAGAATGTGGAGGGAAATTTTTTGAATAATGGTCAACTTCCCAAATTTGATAAAAGCTATAAACTTACAGATACAAGAAGCTCTGAGAACCACACACACAATCTATAGATTGGAACACATACCTAAAAACATCACAGTCAAACGGTAAAGACCAAAGAAAAAGAGAAAATCTTAAAAGCAGCCAGATAAGTCATTAAAAACAAAAAGAGGCCAGAATAAAAAGTAATGAGAGCTTTTTAAATGTTGAAAGAAAAAAATGTCAACCCAGAATTCTATAACTCGTGCAAACATATCCTAAACTGAGGCTATTCCAGTGAACAGAAATGGAACGTATTCATTCCCAGCAGACCTGCAAAACAAGAAATGTTGAAGGATAAACTTCAGTACAAAGGAGCATAATAAGAGATGGTAACTCATATACAGGAAGGAATAAATGGGTAAATATATATTCCTCTCTCTTCCTGTCTATAAAAAAATCAATAAAATATATTTGTAAAAACAAACATATATATATGTTTAAAAAAAAAAAACTAAACAAGAAGCCCAACATCTGGTTGGTTTATTTAATTCTGAACATTACACACCTGGTAATATTACTAGTGCCAACCGCTATAACCATCTCAAAGGTCATTCGTACTTGAATGGGGCAGCAGTCTATCTCCAGGTGTGTTTGGGCCCTATGATCCACACTTGGAAGGATTTTGGAAGTATCAGCAACACAGACTGTGCAAACTGGAGTTATGGGGATGGGGTGGGCTAGAGGGGTCAATGGAGGAAAGGGGGGGAATTGCAATACTTTCAACAATAAAGATTTAAATTTAAAAAATAAAAATAAAAGAGTTGCCTGCAAAAAAACAGAGAGGGGGAGGGGGAAGGAGGAGACATCTTACAGTTAAAAAACAGATTAAAGTGTGGTTGATTCAATTTAACCTACTCTTTTATGGCAGGAGATTCATAAAACCCATTGCCAATTCAGCAGAACTGTTGTAAGAAAATTCTGTATGGCTAAGCAAGACCATCTTTTTAATTGTAAAAATAGATGTCATGTCAACTGGGAAATTTACCGATGGTCTTAGGCGACCCACAGGTTGAGAACTGCTGCTGTAGAGCCTAAGACCATCGGAAAACACAGATATTTACATTATGATTCATAACAGTAGCAAAATTACAGTTCTGAAGAAGCAACAAAAATAATTTTATGGTTGGGGGTCACCATAACATGAGGAACTGTATTAAAGGTCATGGCATTAGAAAGGTTGAGAACTACTGATTTAGATGCTTATAAATTCCTGATTTTTCCGCAAATTGTAATATCTAAAATGAAATCCGTTTATTTATGCTTTAATGTTAAAATGGGTACCATTTATCCATACCCAGGAGAATATTACCTTTTTTAAATGACAGCTGATAGCCTAAATAACACAGTACTTGAAAAAAAAGTGTATCTGAACCAAGTCAGAGCAAACAAATACAATTCCATTCTTACAAACCCAAATCCATATAATGCATTTTTAACAAATCATAAAAATATTAGTTATGAATGTGAAAGCCATTAACTTATCAAAAATGATTTAAGAAATATATAAAATTGAGAATTAAAATGCTAACAAACAAAATTAAGGAATACATATTTGCTTTAGAAAAAGTAAATAAGAATTTTTAAAGAACTTTTTATAATATTTCTTGATAAGCAATTATGACTTCTGTACCTATGTTCTTTGTGTTCCAATAGCTGGCAGTCTCTACATGTCAGTCTATCACATGTTTCACAGAAAAGTTTCAACTGCTCTTGTTTGTGTACAGGGCAGAAAACAGGGCGCTGACCAGATGCTCCAACAGACTCTGTAGCAAAATAAAACATATATTTTTAAACTAAACAAAATTTTTGTCTAACTTTCTAAATTCTTATCGATACTGGTATCCAAAGCTTACAAAGAATATGCAGAAATGCCATAGGGGCAAAGAGGGAGATTAATAATCATTAAAATTGCTTCTCTCTTACCTGAAACATCTTCTTTCTTCCTGATCAAGTGATCTTTAGTGAATTTTACTCTCTGATGTGCTTCAATACATGTCTTACAGAGCCACTCTCCACATTCTACACAAAAGCCAACTGCACTTGCATTGTCTTCACAGCTAGTACATACCTAAAAGAGGAAAGAAATACTAAGCTACATTAGATTTACCAAATATAGATCCACAAAATAAAAAGGTGAAAACTGTCCAACTTGCTTCCAAATATACTAATTTATGTACGCAGAATAAAAAATTTTTATTATCCATTTATCTTTAATGAGATCCTCTCCTTCCAGATCAGTCAGTAGATTAAAATCTAAGTCTCAGAACATAAAATCTATAAAAGATTTCAATTTTTCAGTAATGATCTTCTGTCTCACTGAGCCAGATGTGAGAGGGTGTAGAATAAAGATATTACTTATTTTCAATTTGAAAGATGTAACTATAGCAGAATTAGCCTAATTTATGTAACAACTCAAACATTTTTTTTAGTAATTTACATTTTGATATCAAGATAGAAATATAAAGAAAAATTGAGAAGCATACCTGTTCTGATTTCTCATCAGAACTGCTAGGAGCTTCAGATGTATCTTTAACAAAATAATTATCCACAAGGTCTATCTGTCTGCATTCTTGGCGGCATACTGGGCACCGTATCACACCAACTACAATACAAAATGTCAACATTTAGAAATATTTTTCAGAAAAAAATAAGGAAAACTGTGCATGTTGCCCATATGAAAACTACCCATTCAATATGTCACTGACAAGACCAAAGAAATGAGCGTTAAGAGCTGAGTAAAATAATCCACTGAATTATTCCATTGGAAAAAAATGATATTCTATTTAGGAAGAGAGAAAAAAATATGCAAAAGAAGTTTAAAGCTGCAACTTTATGACATTATGTTTTTCAAAAGACATCCAGGTCCTACTCTTGGAAAACCTGTCAGTGTCACTTATCCACCAAAGGGGCTTTGCAGCTGTGATTGAATTAAGGCTCTCAAGATGGAAATGCTGTCCTGGATTACTGGATTGGCCCTAAATGCCATCACAAGCGATCTCATAAGAGGCGGCAGAGGAAGATTAGATTACAAAAAAGAGGAAAACCAACTGATAATGGGAGCTTTCGATGGAGCCACAAGCCACGAAATACAGGTGACTTCAATAGCGGCCGAAAAACACAAAGAACCAGACTCTCCTCAGGCTCAGACTCTTTCTGGTGTGAAAGCCAGAGCTGCTGGCACAGACTCTGCAAGACACTCAGCAAACTGAATTCAAACTCTTAGCCTCCAGACCAGTAAGAAAATAAAATGTGTTGTATTAAGGCCACAAGTTTATGGCAATTTTGTTACAGCAGCAACTGAAATATACTATCTGTCATCTTATAAAGTCTGACTTAGCTCAGAACTACATGAATTCATGTTAGTGTGGGAAGAAAGATCACCTGTCCCTTCACCTGCTGTCACTCTAGCATCTACAAGAACAGATAAGCCTGCTGAGGTAACAATAGATGTTAAAGTTAACAACTAAAATATAGCACCACAGTCAACCCAACAAACGGATTACTACATCTCAGCCATACATTTGAGGATAGAGCATGAACAACACAATCCTTACTTTCGAGAGAGGGTTCCAAGACTAGTATATAAAGTTTATTCGTTACACCATGCAGAGATAAGGAGAGATGAAACAAGAGAGACAAACAAGAAGAAAGCTAAGCCGAAACCGGTTTGGCTCAGTGGATAGAGCGTCGGCCTGTGGGCTGAAAGGTCCCGGGTTCGATTCTGGTCAAGGGCATGTACTACCTTGGTTGCGGGCACATCCCCAGTAAGGGATGTGCAACAGACAACTGATTGATGATTCTCTCTCATCGATGTTTCTAACTCTCTATCCCTCTCTCTTCCTCTCTGTAAAAAAAAAAAAAAAAAAAAAAAAAAAAAAGAAAGCTAAATAATTGAATGAGGAAGTCCAGCATGTGTCAATCAGAAATTCCTAGAAGTTCATGAAGGAGGCAGAGATGCTTTATAAAGAAATAATGACCAAGAATTTCAAAACTGAATAAATGAGTTCTCAAATTGCAACCCAATTCCTGAGCAGAATAATTAAAAATAAATCCACACCTAAACAAACCAAAGATGGAGCAAACACTCTTCCTAACTGCTAATACTGGAAGACAATCAAGACTAACAACAGAACCACCTCACCAGAAAGAACAATGCGAAAGATAGCAATCTCTTCAAAGCTTTCAGCAAAAACAACAGCCAACCTAGCAATCTATTATATCCTGATAAAACTATTATTCAAGTGTAAAAGGAAATTAACTTTTCAGACATATAACAGAACTATTCATTGTTGTAATAACTAGTTAAGTATTAAGGTGAACCACATAAATCTGCCAATAGACCAGTTCTGACCTGCAAATACAGCAGTTTTATACAGTTCAACCTAATCTATCTATACTAATGACAGAGGAATATTCAAATTGTCCAGGACTCCATCACAGTAATGACTGAACAGCAGGCTGTGTGGGGTGACCAGGCTGGCGGGGGTGGGGGGTAGTTTGGGGCAACCAGACCAATGGGAAGAGTGGGGGGCAGTTCAGGGAGACCAGGCCAGCAGAGAAGTTGGGGGCAACCAGGCCGGCGGAGGGGGGGAGGGGAGTCAGTGAGGGGCAACCAGGCTGGTGGGGGGGCAGTTAGGGGCAACCAGGCCAGCAGGCAGGTGACCAGTTAGGAGCCAAATTGTGAGAAGGATCCCGGTTTGGAGATGGTGCAGGCTGGGCTGAGGGGACAACTCCCCCCACCCCCACCCTGCACCCATGCACGAATTTCGTGCACCGGGCCTCTAGTATACATATAAAAGATTAGTGACCAATGGTACATCCCTCCGACCGATACATATGACACACACTGGCAATTTAAAAATAAACATTGATTCACACATGCACGATACATATAAAGCTCTTGCTGAAAAGAGTAAAAGGCTAAGAGACCCACCTGACACTTTTATTACAGAGAAAGGACAAATAGCGTTATTAAATACTTCTAATTAATTTCCTTTCAATGTGCACAAATTCATGCACCAGGCCACTAGTATTTCAGAATGTGGGAAAATAGAAGCGAAATTTCAAAAATAATTAACAAAGGCATCGATAATAAATATGCATGAGCTAAAAGTAAATATATATTAATTTGGGAAATAAAAAATACATGAAATTAAAATATCAAACTATAATCATCTATTCTAATTCAACTTCAGCTAGGAAAAAAAAATTCTAACTACAATATGAAAAGGAAATTGAGATAAAAGGTAAAAATAAGGTACCCTGACCCAGCTGGTGTTGCTCAGTGGTTGAGCAACAACTATACACTAGAAGTTTGTCAGTTTGGTTCCAGGTCAGGGTACAAACCTGAGTTGTTGGTTGAGTCCCTGGTTGGGACACATGGAAGGCAACCAATCACACTGATGTTTTTCTGTCTCACTTCCTCTCTCTAAGCATGTCCTTGGGTGAAGATTAAAAATAATCAATTAAGATCTGGGGGAGATAAGAGATCAACCGAAGGACTTGTATACATGCATATAAGTACAACCAATGAACACAGAACTCTGGGGAGGGAGGGCATGTATGGGGGAGGGGGGAATGGTAAGATATGTACACAGATAATTTAATTTAAAAAAAATAAGGGGGGGGGGGGAGAAAAAAAGAATAAATAAAAATAATCAATTAGCCAAAACCGGTTTGGCTCAGTGGATAGAGCATCAGCCTGCGGACCTAAAGGTCCCAGGTTCAATTCCAGTCAAGGGCACGTGCCTTGGTTGCGGGCGCATTCCCAGTGGGGGGGGGGGGGGGGCGCATGCAGGAGGCAGCTGATCGATGTTTCTGGCTATCTCTCTCCCTTCCTCTCTGTGAAAAATCAATAAAATATATTTTAAATAAATAAACAATTAATATAAAAAATAAGGTAAAACTCTGCCTTAACAAAATAAGTGACGCTCCAAAATGCAACTGCATAAAATAGAGTCCAGTTATTGGAAAGTAAAATAATTATATAAACTTTCTTACCCTGGCGATTTAGGACTAACACAAACTGGACTGTAGTTTGATGCCAGGCTGGAGCTGTTGCTCTAAGGAATTCCAGGAATCTCACTGGTTGGTGCCATTTCCACTCGATTCATAAAAATTGGCTCAGACCATTGGGGCTCTGCCACCCACATCTCTTCTCTGATGTCTCCCAACCCAACCTCGCTCTGCCCCGCACTTCTGCCCTCACTCCAGTAAGAACTTTAACCTGCCTATTTGAGAATAAGGAGATAATCATGATCAAATTATATTTAAACCTGCATCAATACAAAGTTTTACTGTAAGGCCCATCAGTACTTATTGAGAAATTTATATGTATTAGTTCAGTGAGTCCTCAAACAGCTCTTAAAGTAAGTTCAATTACTATCACCATTTCAAAGGTGAGGAAATTAAGGTTCAGAGCTCAAGTAACAATCTCAAAATCATATGGCAATATAAACAGGAGTTGAGAGAAGAGCCAAGATCTGAAACCATGATGTCTGAATATACTCTTCCTCTTAAATCCTATGCTAAACTATCTCTCTAGTTACAGCAGGCAGTCAGCAGCTAGGGAAGGGAGGCCCCAGCCGGCCCTGAGGGCCCGCCAGGCCTAGAGACCCCACTTGTGCACAAAATTTGTGCACCGGGCCTCTAGTATAATAATCATCTGAAGACTTTTGTAATACAAATTTATAAGAATTACAAAATTCTTTGTGGGAGAATTTTTACTTAGCTGGGAGGATTTAATGAACTCACCACCAGTGAAGAGCTTTTTCTCACCTGGCTAACAAATAATCCACTCAGAAACTTACCTTGATTTCATTTTTTCACCTTTAAGAAATTCTGCTGTGATGAGATATTCCAATTTAAAATTTCTAACTTCTCTGTGCACTACTTTCCTTGAGTTGGGAGTACTACGACCAGTACTTACTCTAGAGTTATCTACAGGTTGCACTCTTTTAGCAGGGCTATAGTAGAAGTGTATTATATAATAAACACTTAGCCAACTAACTCAAAAAGAAAAGAACTCCCACTCCTCTGTGTCTTAAAAGGGTGCCATTTTTCTCTTCTCGTCTTGATTTAAATGATAGGTATGCATTGATAATTGAAGTATTTTTGTAAATGTCATGCTATAGCCACACATATATGCTTATTAAGTTATTACTACAACACTGCAATTTGTAGGGCACCAAAAAGCAGTGCAAAGCAATGAGTCTTTGTCAGTTATTCATTCTGCCATTGCAGCATGAAAGCAGTCATAGATAATACATAAAGAAATGGGCATAACTGTGTTCCAAAATGTTACTTATGAACAGAAATTTTAATTTCATGTAATTTTCACATCACAAAATATTCTTTTGATGTTTTTCAACCATTTAAAAATATAAAACTCATTCCTAGCACATGAGCCATATAAATCAAGACAGCAAGCTAGATCTGGCCCATGGCTCTCGTTTCCCAGCCCCTGATCTAAAGTGAAGTCCAACAGCTCTGGCAAGTGTGACTCTTGTTGGTTAATAATCATCTCATGCACCGAAAGGTCACTGGTTTGGTTCCGGGTCAGGCACATACCCAGGCTTCAATCCTCGGTCTGGTGGGTGTGGG